ATTGACTTTATCTTATAGTTTTAAAGTTCATGTTTTTAACAAGCATTTTTGTTACTAGAAAAAAGTCAAAAGATACTTCAATATCTTACAACAAAGATTTTAGGTGTTGAAATGTAGAATGAAGATATAAAAACTGCTTAATTTATTAAGCAATTGATGAATGATTCAAATAATTCTATGGTAAATTTTCTTCTTAAATATATTGAACCTAATTCATGTTTGCTATTCCATCAATTTTGACTTTAATCTAAAATATTTTTGTATGCATATTATATATATATATCCTACAATTTATAGTATTATTATAGACAAAAATTGTAAAGGATCATATACATTAACTAAGAAAAATGTAAATCTACTTACATTTTTAATACATTTTGTATATATTACATAGTTTTAAAGCCTAGCTTTAAAAAAAATGAATTCTTGTATGTAATATCTTTTTCAATCAAATTAATTATAAAATAAAAATAAAAATTTTAAAAATTAATATTTATTAAAAAAACTAATGAAAGGTTTTTTCTTTTTTTTTTTTAGTGAGGCCATTTTGATTGGTCCACAGATAATTCATTTTGGAAACGGTTCATTTTGATCCATGTTAGCTTTTTATGTGAGATAGTGATCAAGTGGGGGTGAATTGAATTTCTCCAAGTTATTCTCAAATAATGATTTGAAAATAATTAAATGAAAAATTAAAATTAATATCACAATATGATGCAAATGACAATAATTGATATATCTAGAAGTAAATATAATCAATAATGGAAATAAAGAGATAGAGATAGAGAAATCAAATACAAAGTTTTATAGAGGTTCGGTCATTTTTCATAAGGTACCTGTGTCTTCTCTTCTTGATTGTCCATACCAAGATTTCAATCCACTAATTGAAGAAAAACTCTTATAAGATATAAACCTATATTGTACTAAATCTCTATTTTTTTTAAGGATTATATAGTAACTTTTACCCTTATAATATTAAGAAGATACTTTACCTTTTGCTTATAAGATAACCCAAATGATTTTGCAATCTAAAATACCTTGCAAGGTTGAGTGTTTGCCTAATGAAATATAAAGAAATTTGATGAATGAACAACACAATATAGCTTGGATACAACAAATACAAAAGATATGGATTTTAATCTCTAACAACTCTTGATTTTATGAAAAAAATGAAAATATAACTTGTTGGTTCTTACTCTCTTGATTTATCAACCTTCTTGGTGTGTTGGAATATCCAATTTATAGAGGAATTGAAGAACTAGTCACTACAGATGGTTTGGAGTTGAAAAAAAGCATTGAAGCTTGAAAAAACTAGTTGTTAGAGATTTTCTAGACATAGGGGATCAATCCCTTCTTATGAGGGGATTGATTGGTTACTTAAAATTGAAGCAATTTCGCGCATGAAAAGGCACAATCAATCAATCCATATTTAGTACCAATTGATCCTTTTTTCAGGTCATTGATCTCCTAGTTTGGGTGATCGATTCCTTTTTAAGGTTTGGAGCAAAGTTTTCATTTTGTGTAAAAAACCAATCAATCCCTTCATAAAGGGATCGATCTTGTCTTTAAAACCTTGAACCAATTGATCCATACAAGGAAGGGATCGATTGGTTTAGCCAGGGGATCAATTTAATTAAGTTGGGTGATTGTTTTTGGTTTTGTACTCTACTTACTAATTTGATTATATTTTGAGTTACACAATTCTAAATCAAAAACTATTTGAATATTTAGAAACTAGACTTAAAAAGCTTTCTATCCATATAAAATTCATCACCTAATTCATTGTATACGAATTATAGTGAATTTTCAAAACTACCCATTATACAGTTTTTAGACAACTGCAAAGTGTAGTAAAAATTCAAAATCTTTTCTTAAAAAAATTGAATTTTGATTTTGTTTGATCAATTAGAAAGTATATTCAAAGAGCTTTCCAACCATATAAAATTCAAATATTAAAACTCTATGAATTAATATAGAAAAATAAAACAAGTTCAATGTTGAAAAACTTTGTTCTTATAAAATAACTTTCTTAAGTTAATCTATTTCGTAAAACCAATATTATCAAAATTGTATTGTGTCCAAAATGAATAAGTTTACTTTAAAAACAACAATTAGTCTTTCATTTAAGCTCAAATAAATAATGTATAAAGATAGTTTGATTTGAAAAATAAGAAAATATAAAGAAAGGTTTCTTTAAACTTTGAAAATCATATTATTTAATACCAAAATATAAAACTTAAGAATATATACTAAATAAATCTTTTTCATAATCTTAATCAAGCTTATTTAGCTTAATGTTTTGTCATTTCAAAATAAGGATCAATTCAAGTTAACAATCTCTCTTTTTTTTTATATGAAAAAACTTAAAGTTAAATTTGCTTGATAAGAAACTTTCTTTAAGACATGTAAGATTTTGAAAAATATTTTAAACAACTCTTTTTAAATTTTGTAAGGCAAAACTCCATCTCAATTATTGCACCCTAATTCAGTATAACTCATCAAACATATTTTAGTCAAATATATAAAATAAGTACAATCAAACATATGCATGTTAAGTACAAGCAAATTTGTCTATATGATATTTCTCTCCCTTTTTGTCATAGTAAAAAGGCATGAGTAAATAAACACAAAAAGAAGGTATTAGCAAATATATTCATGAAACATTTCTCTCCCTTTTTGTTTAACCTTTTTATACTAAATGTTAAAGCTTCTATACCAATTGCTATAAACATACAAGAAGAAATATTTATAAACTCTCCATTTTCTTGTCATTGTTAAAGAAAGAAAGATCAATTCAATATATGGGACAAAATGCTTGATACCAACAATATCAAGAGTATTTTGAATGCATATAATCAAGTGTAATATGCACAATGAAATTCACATACATGTATATTACCATAAAATCATAAGTATATCTAATTAAAATGTTATAGCACAGAATCAATCATTCAACCTAACCATATGAAATTTATGAGCAAAAAGATAATAAATGATATGCAACCTACTGATAAGTCATGTTATCATAAGATGTGCTTAGAACATAAAACATCAATAGCAATTAAGCATAAATTCAAGCATATGCATACAAGTTTATTTCAATTGTTCCAGATACCAATTGTTAAAGATATGTTATCATAAAATAAATCAAGCAAAATTGTATTCTAAGATTTCTCTTTCTTTTCAAAATAAGGATTAATCAATTTAAGGCACACACAATTTTGTATGAAAGGTACAAGTTATATCAATGATATGTACATAAACAAGGGTCCATTAAAGTTAAAAAAATTTTTAGTCATTTTGATACCAATTGTTAGCTATTTTGTTCACAAACTTTAACGATCATAATATATTTCAAGCATATGAAAAGTTCAATCAATACATGCATAATAGCATTATTTCATAAGCATATCCTATCCAAAACAAATATTCAATTAGCATGTTATAACAAAGAATTATACAATCATGATTTTTCAAGCATGATGAACACATATGCTATAGCAAAAAAATGATATTTAATACACATAGTCTATATTTAATACACAGATTTTATATTTTATCTGTAAATGATAAGAGGAGATCATTTCATTAATAAGCAAATATCTATTTTTAAAATAAATATATAAAATTTAATATTTTAATAAAATTACATATTAATGAAGAGATATCATCTGATTTATTTCTTTAATGAGATTATATAATTAATTCATAGTATATAAAATTTATACATTATAATCGAATAAAATATAAACCCTTAAATAATTATAGAAAAAAATCTCAATCATTCAAAAACTTTTCATGCATATTGTGAATAAATTAGTAATTAATTTAATAATATTGCTCCTATTAACCTTAATTTTTAAAAAATTAGTCATCTAAATCGACCAAGTGGACGGTGGAGATGCGGTAAAGCAGCGTAATCGTGGAAACCGCGATGCAGAGGACACAAATTAAGGCAAAGACAGACGGGTGGTCCTAGGGGGTTTATTTCAGTCTCTTTTTAGTTTTTTCGTGTGAGAGTTAAAAAACGAGAAAGGAGATTTGTATTCGACAGTCTCTTTGAGTTTTAGGGTTTCTATCTTTCATTTGCTCTCCAAATTTCAGGTATTTTTTTTCTGTGAAACCTGTTTGGTTGCAGTGTTTTTGTCTCGTGTTTTTCTTCGTTGGACTTTTTTTTACTGGTTTTTTGATGTATTTTTGAAAGGTCCTTTGTTTTTGATGTATTTTTGATGGTTTTTTACTTGCTTTTGGACTTTGCAATGCTGCTTCAATGGGTGGCTTTTTTCAAGGATTTTCTTCTTTTTTGAGTATGATCTGATCTTCGTTGCCATTTTTTTGTTTCTAGTTTTTCAATAAACACTTCAAGTTTGCAACTTTTTTGCTGTTTTTTTTTTTCTATTTTTAAAGACTGTAGTTTTTCGTCAGTGTAGAGCATATTTCTATTTTGAAAGATGTATACCTTTCGTAACCTTTGTTATTTTATTTTATTATTCAGTTCTTTTATAGTAAAAAAGGTTTCTTTTTTGTCATCTTGTAATCAAGCCATTTAGAAAGTTGTTACATTTTTGCTTCAGTTGGGATTTTTAACTCCGTTTACAAGTTTCCTGTCGCTTCATGTACTCTTTCTCTGCAGTTGTAGTCTTTTACTGTCTCTTGATGTGCTAAAGGTATTTACGTTTCGGTATTCTTTCGTTCTATCCCTTAATGATGCAATATATTTGGTTAAAGTTTTGACTTTTATGCTAAAAACAGCACCTTTTTGCCTCTTCATGTTAACCATTTTAGTGCACAGCAGCATTAGTGCCTCTGGGTTCAAGCTCATATTCTTAAAGGTTCCCTTTTTTTTTTTTTTTGGGTACTCTAAGGGTTTCTTTTTCTTTTTTTTTTTTTTTTTCCTTTGTGCTTATTTCTCTATTTTTTTTCTTGTGTAAGTTCCAGCATTCATCGACATACGCTTTATTTATTTTTTTTTTGCTACAGATCCTCTGATTTTTAGGTAATATTTGTATCCTTTGTAAACACGTCTTTCATTTGCATCCATGTGGTTTCTTAAGCATTTTGTTAGGAAAAGAAAAAATCTCATTTTTAAATATTATATAGTTTTGGTGCCTTGACTTTGTTTCTTTTTTGGCGTATGAGCATATTGACTTTGTTTCCCTTTGTGGCGTATGAGTATATTGCCAGAAAAAAAAATTGTATAGATGGATGAGTTTCAAGATTGTGATATGCCAAGGTTAATTGCTTTTAGTCTTTTCGTTTTTGTTGAAAATAAATAATTTATCAAGTTAAAAGTATGAATTACTTTTTTTCTGCACGAAATGGTTATAGCTAATCTTTTTCTGCGTGAAATGATACTATTACGTACCTACTTTTTAGGGAATTTGTGTTGTAGCTAATAGTATTTTTATTTTCTTTCACGTAAGAAAAATTTTCTTGGTTGGGATATGGACTCGTCTGAGAAAGAGGGAAGTGGGGCAACGGGCTCTCTTCCCCCTCCCCCGCCTCTGCCCCCCAATGTGGTACCAATCAAAGCAGAATCTGAGCCTGCAAAGGAGGTTTCACGTGTCCCAATGGCCGGGAAAGGTCTTGGATCCCATATAATAGTTTGTCGTTTTTTGCTTGATTCTGTATTTCTATTTCTTAAAGGTGTTTGTTTCTAATCTTACTTTGGATTGCACTTGCTCCTATTTGGTATGCGCATTTGGCAGCTTCGCAGTTGGGGACTTTCCTGAAGTTTGATGAGGCTCCTGAGACATCCTCAAGCCGTAGTGGGGCGACTGCTCCTGAGACATCCTCAAGCCGTGGTGGGGTGACTGCTCCTGGAGCCACACCTGTTCGGCAGCTGCCGTGGTTGAACAGGACTGTCGCCGATTCTATGTTCTTCTGCTGAGACCTTCGGACCATGCTTTCTATAGGCTTTTGGTTTTACCACCAACTGATCTGAAACTCTTTTTAAGTATATTTAAACTTTAGAGGTAGGGCTATCCCAGACTTGTTCTGATGATGATGTGCTGTTCTCTGAATCATCATCCATTTTGGTTATAAACTTTTTGGATGCTTGGCCCCCACCGTATCTAAAGATATGAATGCTTGACTGGGTAATTCACAGTGGCTTTTTCCTGTTTGGTTTAGAGAAGTGGTTATACTACTGCCCTTTACTCTGTTCTCTTATTTACCGTTAGGCTTGGGTATCAGTTAACCAGTTAGATGTGGCTTCCGAGTAACTACTTTTGTTGGTTTCTGATGCTTAGAAAACTATACCATTTCGTTATTACTTCTCTATTATATAATGTAATGCTTTTCTGTGGCAAGAATGAGTTATATTTCTAGCTTATTTAACTTTTCCGGAAATAGTTTGTTGGTTTTGGTAGGAAAAAAAATAGCATACAAAAATTTATCGACAATACTCCCTCTTAAAAACGAATCTCTACTGTTTCACGTAGCAAAGAAAAAAGAAACACCAATATTTCAAAGGAGTCTCCATTTCAAAACGATGGCAACCATAACAAGCAGGATCAACTTTCCAGAATTGTCTGTTGCTCATTTAGGAACATAGATTATTTAAATTTATGTTGTTAAACTTGTTTAAATTTTAGAACTAGGCTGCCTTTCATGGTTTGTCAAAAAAAATGGTGATTTTGGATATTTTTAGTATTTTCAATGCTTAGAGAGAGTATACTTTTAAATTTGTTCAGTTTTGACTTATTTAAGTGTGTAGATAGTTTAAAATTTTCATGTCAAATTTATCTCACGGGTAGAATTATGTTGTCTTACTTGATTTGTTATTAACTTGGATGAATTTATCGCTTTTTGGAACTTTTAATGACTATCAAGGGTAAATTCTCAAGCATTTGTAGTTGTTTCTTATTTATGCACATTGATAGCTTAGGTTTATGATATTAATTTTGCTTAAATATTATAACAATTCTCACTCGTTTCGCTTGTCGAAAATTTTTGTGATTTGAGTCCTTTTAAGCATTCTTTATGCCTTAAAAATTTTAAACCAAGTTCTTTGCTCTCTCTCTCTTTTAAGTATGTAGACAACTTAAACTTGATATATTAAACTTACTCAAATGTTAAATAAGGTTATGAGTTTCTATTTTATCACTATCATTCTTAAAATTTTTAGTTATTAGAGTCGATTATTGGTTGAATTACAAGAAGAATTTTTATTGGTTGAGTTTGGTAAAGTGAGATTTTGTATATATTACATATTTTTAAAGCATTAATATTTCTACTCCCTATTGACACCCAATTTTATCCGAGATGAATGAATTTCGATTGATTTTTCAGCCTAGTTGCACATTTTAATTTAAACTTATTTTAACATTTTAATCAAAATTTCATATTGGGCTTTGGTGGGCTTTATCTTAGGATTATTTTTCCTTAGGGATTTGTTTTATTTGGGCTTGAAACCAATTTTGAATTATAGTTAAAGGATTTTCTCCCTCTTTTTTTCATAGTAAAAAGGCATGAGCAAATAAACACAAAAAGAAAATATTAGCAAACATATTTATGAAACATTTCTCGCCCTTTTTGTTTAACTTTTTTATACTAAATGTTAAAACTGCTATACCAATTGCTATAAACATACAAAAAAAAAATATTTATAAACTTTCCTATTTCTTATTATTGTAAAAGAAAGAAAGATCAATTCGATGCATAGGATAAAATGCTTGATACCAATAACATCACGAGTATTTTGAACTAATTTTTTGTGTAACGTTATTGTGTGGTAGCAGCATGAGTTTTATGCAAGTGTTTTATTGTGATAGAAGCATGAGTTTTACCCATGTGTCATCGAAATCACATCACGGTTATATCCATAACTATGTGGTCTTCATATTATTTTCCTTTTCATTTTAATTTCCTTTTATCGAAATTACCCTTTTTTACCCAACCCAGTTTCCTCGTCATTTAACACACCCTGCGATTTAAAGAGGACAAATCCGTAATTTTGAGATTTCAAATAATTTACAACCGTCAAATTAGAAAGTAATAAGAATTAATATTCTTTCTAAAAAATCGAATTTCCGTAATTGAGGTAGTGACATAACTGTTCTGGCACCCAAATGCCTGGGTAATTAAAAAGTAGAGTAATGATCCGATGCAATCTCACCTTCCATCATGATCAAATCAAAGCTGTCCAATTCCTTCATTCGTTCAAAAATCATCGATGACATTGAAACTTCCGTAGTTTGTTGAATTCTATGCATATAAATCTATTATTTGAGCCCGCTTAGCTCAGAGGTTAAATGCGATGATCATTGGTTCGATTCTAATAGATGGCTTTCTATATTTGTTTTCTTTTTTATTTTTTTACATAATTGATAATATATATATTTTTTTGAAATCAAAGAAAATTGAAAATGCTTTTTCGCCTCGCGGATCTTCCTATTATAAGGAAGCCTATAGAAGTAAGAACGGGAAGGGGGAAAGGAAATCCTATAGGTTGGATTGCTTGTGTGTCCATGGGACAAATCCCATTTGAAATGGATGGTGTGAATTTGTTAAATGCTCTGAGGCAATTGCTAACACTCTAAGGATGTAATTTTTGAATAATTAGTTGATTGAAAGAAAATAAAATAAAAATAAAAATAAAAGTAATTTATGTTTGATAATATAAATAGTTTTAAGTATAATGTGTATTTAATGTATTTGAAAAAAACAAAGAGAGAAGTTTTGAAATTAGAATAATAATAATGAAGTTAATTTGTTTTGATAAATTTAATTTAATTTAATTTAAATTTATTTGATCATCTATTAATAATTTTAAAATCCACATATTAAATGTATATGCATACATAATTTAAAAGGTAGAGCTAATAGATTATATTTTAATAAGTTGGAAAGTGTATATATTTTTAATAAATGTAATTCAAGAGTTAAATATTTATAAAGGAAAAAAGAGTTAAAATTATTTTGTTTATTAATAATGGGAATCAACGTTGTATTATTTTTATATGAAATTTAATTAAGAGTAATTTAAGATAAATAAAAAAAAAAAACATAATCAATTTATTTTTGAATTAAAAATGCATCAAATAAAATAAAATTCATTTCTTGTATTACACAAGATAATTTTTTAAGATTATACACTTGTAAATAATATAAGCCATTCATATTGAATATTTTATTTTTTTCAAAAACTTTAATTTTTATATATTTGTATAAATAATTAATTATGCCAATTAACAAAGTTTTCAAGAAATAATTATTGCCATGCCACTATAGTATGGTAAAACTAATTTGTCTTGGTTCAAACTTTTTATTTTAGATAAATTTTGGCTTACTTTAATAATAATAAAAAAAAAGTAGTTGCTTTTTTTTTTTAAATATATTTAGTGCCATTCCCATATCATAGAATTATATACTTAGTCTATATTTAATACACAGATTTTATATTTTATCTGTAAATGATAAGAGGAGATCATTTCATTAATAAGCAAATATCTATTTTTAAAATAAATATATAAAATTTAATATTTTAATAAAATTACATATTAATGAAGAGATATCATCTGATTTATTTCTTTAATGAGATTATATAATTAATTAATAGTATATAAAATTTATACATTATAATCGAATAAAATATAAACCCTTAAATAATTATAGAAAAAAATCTCAATCATTCAAAAACTTTTCATGCATATTGTGAATAAATTAGTAATTAATTTAATAATATTGCTCCTATTAACCTTAATTTTTAAAAATTAGTCATCTAAATCGACCAAGTGGACGGTGGAGATGCGGTAAAGCAGCGTAATCGTGGAAACCGCGATGCAGAGGACACAAATTAAGGCAAAGACAGACGGGTGGTCTAGGGGGTTTATTTCAGTCTCTTTTTAGTTTTTTCGTGTGAGAGTTAAAAAACGAGAAAGGAGATTTGTATTCGACAGTCTCTTTGAGTTTTAGGGTTTCTATCTTTCATTTGCTCTCCAAATTTCAGGTATTTTTTTTCTGTGAAA